TTGTATTTTCTATCTTATTTTGTTTTCTTGTAAACTCATAAATATTAATAAAGATCATGCGAGACTGCCGCACTTAAAAAAAAAAAAAAAAAAAAATCATTTTTGCACATCAATTTTAGGTGTAACACTATCATAAAAAGAAAAGAAAAGTTTAGGTAATAGGCTAAATCTTTATGAAAAACCTATATTAAATAAAACAAAAGAATATCAGAAAGTTAAAATAAATATGAAATTAAAGCCAATGACGAAATATTATGTGTCATAAAAAACATATAATTACGTTATTATATTACATCAAAAAAATATATTTTATGAGACCACCTATCTATATTGTAATATCTTTCTGCATAAGGTTTACCTTAAATTTCAGAAGTACATCTTGCTAATAACTGTTTAAAAGTTCCATTAAAAATAGACCGTTATTTTTAAATCAACTTGCTAAAAAAGCTAAATTTTGTAGGTAATCAAAACAATAAAAAATAGTCTAATTATCAAGAAACTTTTGGATATTTAATCTGAAATAATATCATATTCTAATAGAAATAATAATTTCGATCCGATCAAGTCGAAATTCGGTAAAGCAGGATTAGTGCAAATTAGTTACCCGCAATATATCAATTCCTTAATCGAAAAGAAGCAATAGTTAGAAGATAAAAAAAAACGCTGATCCTTGTTATAAATTCCAATTCTTGAGGAGAATTAGATAAAGGTTTGGAAAAAGCTAAGGAATTAATATTATCAAAATTTTTTTCTTCAAAAAAGGAATGTCCACTATTATGAATACGTACATCCAGACATTAACTATCTACATATATTTTTCAGGGTATTTAGATGAGAATATTAAGGTGATATTACGTGATAGTTGGCTACAATATCGATTAGAGACAATTCGTTATTGGAAAGGAATTTTTATTGAAACACGAAAAGCTTAAGATTGAATTTTGTAATTTATTGTAGTTGGCTACTAAATTTTTATAGTCAATTCGATCTTAAGCCTGTGTTATATAATTTACAATTTTTTTCATTACCCAATTAAGCCAATGATAATTTATAAATAGTTTTAACGCGTTTTTATTATTATTATAAATATAGAATTTTTTCCTAAATATAAAACCACTTTCTGGTTTCAAATATGTATTCAATGTTTAACTAGATTTAGATATTAAATTTCGTATACAATAATTACTATTTTTTCTGATGAATGGTGATTATAAGATATATACTTGAATTTTTAATCTTCTCTTGATATTTTTTGTGAAGTACCACGATGTCTTTGTAAACGTTCTCCCAAACCAATTGATGAATGTGAAGAATATGCCGATTTATAAGCGTTTCTGTGAAGTAATTTAAAATTTCTTTAAATATGGTAGTTCTTAATTACAATACCATAGACAACATTAACGCTTACTTTAAAAAGTCGGATTGCATGCCGCGTCGCCTTCTGTCCTCGTCCAATTTCTTCTCTTCCTCATATTCTTCCTTTGTGGACTTTTCTACGCGTTTCTTTCGCTCTTCAGAAATTTTCTTTGCATCATTCATCATTTCAAAAATTTTACTCTCACGAGAACGTTTTTGAGAACGATTATTTCTATCTTGTTCAATTGACCTTACCGAATCTGCATCATCAGAATCTGCAAAAGGCCTCTTTTTATGGTATTTCTTGCTCCTTTCTTTATGTAAATCCTCATCGTGTTTTTTACTTGATTTTTTTTTCTTTTCTTTTTTTTCTTTTTTCTTATTGGATTTCTAATTTGCAAAATATTACGTTATGACCAAAAATAATTATGTCAGTCATTTAAATTGTAAAAAGTTAGTTTGTATTGATTGATAATTATTCGGTTATATATATTACCTCTTGAATTTCTCTCATTTTAAGTGGATTTGAAACGATAGATTTTATATTGGCCTGTTCAGTTTTCTTTATAAGAAATAATGGATCTTCTCGAATTTTTGCCTGAGTATCTCGGTAAGTATTAGCATTTGGATTACTAATGCTGCTAAAGATTTCTTTGGAATCAGCAGACAACTATTTAAATCAAAGAAATTTTGTTAAAAAAAGTTGCATAAATGCTTTGCAACTATGGAAAAACAATAAGACGAAAACATACTATGCTCATAGAGGTGCCTTGTTCTATAAGAGAATCAACACGTTTCTTTCCAAGTAAATAATCTTCCATTTCCTCAGCTTTGGCTGAGCTAGATTGATTAGGTCCAGCAGCGTACATCCAATCTAACCTTTCCTGCTCTCTTCTACAATATATAACAAATATTAATAAATGTCTTTATTATATGAGCATACGTAAAAATACTTTATAATCAATACCGTCCACCAACAGTCGCTTGGATCTGTCTCAATTCTTGTAACTGTCTTTCCTCTTCTTTTTCTTTCCTGAGCTGGTTAAGCTTTTTTTGCTCTTCCAATGCTTTTTGTTCTTCCTTCCATACCCGCTCTTGATTCTTGATCAAGAGGGGATGCCAGGATTTTTTCATGTTCTACATAACATACGATGGTTGTAAGCATTTGCACCATAAAAATAGATTAACAACGGTAATTCAAGTGATTAAAGTCATTTACCAAGTCTCCTCCTCCCATTTTGACGTATTTAAAGGTTGTAGTGGTTAAATGAGTATTTTTCTGGTAGATCTAAAGTTGGGTTTACTTTTTTTTATAAAAGTTTTTTTTTTAAAAAAAAAAAAAAAAATGCTAGACGGACATGGGATGGGGAATTTATATTTGGCCAAAATTTAAGATTGTTGTCGAATTTAGCCATTAATTTATCTCATTACCATAAAAGGTTTGTTTTTCGAGATAGTCTAATTTGAATTTTTTTTTTTTTGGGAAACGTTAATTATAAATCAAAAAAGTTTCCTCTTCAACTAAGTAAATTGATTGTTGACAATATTCCCTTCACTTACCCGTTATTTTTGTTAAATTTGTAAATTTTAGAGTTGCGATTTTATATAATTCTTTTATATAATTCTTTTATATAATTTTCCTTGCTACAAAATATTAAAAGCATAACAAAAAAAAAAAAAATTTTCAATTCGATAGATGAAAGTTGAAAAGATAATACACAAGTTTTATTCCCTATTTATAAAAATTTAAGCAATCAACTATATTTTTTTTTATTACGTAAAAATTTCAAACACGAGGCATTCAAAGATTTTCTATGAATATGGACGCAAGTCAAGCGAGAGGAACAACTGTACTCCCAATTGCTCGCGTAAAACGCATTATAAAATTAGACGAAGAAATAACAACAATTGGCACAGATTCAACATTTCTAATAGCAATTGCAGCGGTAAATGACCCGTACATATCTATATACACCTTTGAAAAGTTGTAGGAACTTGTTAGTAATGTTCAACTTGTACATTACTTAAATTTTTCTTCATTCTTATTCTATCTATTCTTGCATGATAACAACAGGAACTTTTTGTAGACTATTTTGTAAAAAAAGGTGTGGAACAAGCAAAGTCTGATAGGAGAAAGGTCATCCAGTACGAAGATATGGGTAAGGAAGGTTTCAAGACTCATTTTATGTTTATTTTGAATTCAAATATTGATTCTGAAATTTTACCCTCTTTTAAAATGTGCTCAAAAAAAATAATGAATGCTTTTTGGTATAATAAAGCCAACTTGGTTAAAAATAATGAAAATTTGGAATTTTTACAAGGTATTGTAAAATTAAATGAAATTAGTGAGAATCTCCTTGGGTTGAATAAGGAGGGTAATAATGAATTGATTATGTAGACATTGTGCCAGAAACTCAAGCATTCGAAGATTTCCTCAAAAACCGTAATCGAAGAAAAAGGAAACGAAAAGTAAAAGACGAAAATGGTAGTGGAGAAGAGAATGAAGATGAAGATAGCGATGAGGAAGATGAGGAAGATAGCGAAGATGAAAACAGCGAAGATCACGAAGAAAATGGAGATAATTCTAGTGATTTAGAAGATAGTCCATCGAATGTGGGGGGAGTTAGTGAAACAGACACTATAAATGAGAATGATAGTGATGTCAGCGAAGATAATGATGAGAACGATAGTGAGGAAGAGACAGAAAATGAATCCGAAGTTGAAAATGGATTAAATGAGATTAGCGAGGTCGAAAATTCAATTAACGGGAGAGGTAAATGTATCAATCATCAAAAACGTAACGGAAAGAACGTTGTTAATGTTATCATTAACAATGGTGTTTCGTCCGGTAGTGAACTTAGCGATGCTCCCGAAACTTCAAGTGACAATTCAACTGTATTAAATGATGAAAATGAGTAATAAATTATGTGATTCATACTTTAAATAAAAACTGCGGTGGTGCAATAACATATGATCTGATTATGCATTGAAGTCACCGAAACCCATAAATGGCTTAGTTTGATTTTCTGATGTGAAATAAGATCGAACATAAAGAGCACACATAATTATTACGCCTACTACTTTCTATCACTTGTTTTTTTTACTTGCTATGATGGCTTCTCCTACGCAAAAAAACTTTGACGCAACCTCTCGATTGCAAATGAAAGAACAAACAATTGACGAGATGTATGGTATACCAGAGAATTTTCTAGAAATTGAAGTGAGGAACCCACAAACTCACGGTACGAGTACCAAAGCAATATATTAAGCTATTGATATTAGAGCTTTCACACGCTAAATTCTTTACCGATGCCGACAGGTTTTGGTCGCAAAATGTTTACTGATTATGAGATTGTTTGTCGAGTGAGTTTTATAACGCGATTCAACAGTTTTTTCTGTTTTATGTTTTAACAGGTTCTTAAAATGCTTCACTAAACGATTTGAGGAAATAATTTGGTACTTAATAATTATTGTTTCTGTTTATTCTTTTTGTTTTTTAATTCATTTTCTTTCAAAATTCAGACGAATATTCCTGCCTTTAAGTTGAAAGTTTCTTCGGTTCGAAGAAGATACAGTGACTTTGAATGGTTCCGTGATGTTCTTGAACGGGAATCTTCAAGGGTGAACATCCCTTCCTTACCAGGCAAGGTCTTTACAAACCGTTTTACCGACGAAGTTATTGAGTCTCGCCGGGAAGGACTTGAAAGATTCTTACAAATGTGTGTTTCATTATTACTAATCAATGTAGCCTAATTTATCCAAAAGTGTTGTACTTGAATCAGGAAATACTTCATTAAAGAAATATGGATATCTCATTTTTCTTTTATCGAATTTTGTTTTTAATTCTCTGTATTCTGACCTTTTTAATCTGTTTGTTTCATCTAGTGTCGCGGGTCATCCCCTTTTGCAAACCGGAAGCAAAGTTTTATCCGCTTTCATCCAAGATCCTAATTTCAGCCGGGAAAACTATAATCATTAGATTCTTTCTATCCATTCCGAAACCTAACATGAATGATTGTATATTTTTTTATTATGTGACAGAAGCTATGAATAACAACGTATTTATAATATATATATATATATAATTCCTTTAGCGAATAAGTCGATTGCTTTATAATTCACATTTAAAATTATTTTTTAAATATATCTTTTTTTTCTCTTCGAACTCCTTCTAAACATAATAATTATAAGTGTACTTTTGAACTTTTCAAAAGTGCAAATAATTCTTTTAATACGATAATTTCTTGTAAAGGTAATAATATAAATTGGGTTGGGCTTATTATAAAAATGTTGTGAACGTTCTTTGAAATTGATTTACAAGAAATAAGTAACTGCATCTAATGAGCATCTTTGAATCTAAAGAAAATCACATTCTCAAGTATACTAGTTCTTAAAGTAACTTTGGAATATACCATTACGCAAAAGAAACCAATTGAATCCTAACTTTATTATATCAAATAAGTCAGTTAAAGAAACTTAAATATTTAGGGAGGATATGCGGATACTTTTGATCATTTTAATAGAACATTTGAAGTCTAGCATATAAAGCAAAATTTTTCCCGGAAGTTTTCTCTCTTTAGATCCCTTAATGTTCGAACCCATAGTTCATTTACGTTCCACAAAAAAAAGCGTGTTATTTATAGTATTTCTTCATGATTGGATATTTTGCCACTTCTTGCGCATTGCTGCGGAGCCATCCGGAATAATTATCCGAAAGTATAATAATCAATGTGGCGTTCACAATCTTACAATTCGTCATTACTATTAAAATCTTTAGGAGATTTAGATCCCTTATTAATTCAAATACAAATGTCTAAATTATTTATTAAAATAATTAACGTTAACCATAATAAGAACCTACCCATACACAAAAATCTCTTTCATTTTTACCATAAATGGATATAGATTTAGCTAAGGAACAAATTTACTTAATATAGAAAGATCAATAATAAAAATATTTGTATTAAGATGTCGCACCTTATAATTATAACTTAAAATAATTGTTTAAATCATTTAAAAATGATTTGACCTATATTTTGGATCATTAAATCTCATTTGGATTATTTAGATTCATTAAAGATATAAAATTACATTAAAATCATTTGTAATCTATATAATTATCAATATATTGTTATACGAGTCGATTGCGAAGTCTACCGACTGAAAAGTAAACTTCAACGCGTATAGCAACGTTTTAGGTAT